CAGTTGTTAATTTTATATTTTGTCACCGGAATTTAAGTATGGCCAAACATTCCTCTGTTACGGGATGCGGCACCTCCCCACAAGATTGCAAAGCGAAAAAAATCAACAAGACAGACTATGTTTTTACTTGGGGCTACATATTGTTTTTGTTTGGGTTCCCCCCCCACCAAGATCTGTCTTTCTGTCTGTCAGGTTACTGATTACTTGCTAAAACCAATGAAGTTTGTCAGTTTGAACGTTAAATATGTTGTCTTTGTAGTATGCCAAATTAAATATAGGTTGAACATGATTTGCAAATCGTATTCTCTTTAAATATGTTTAACACAACATCCCAACTTCATTGGAATTTGTCAAATGAGTATTATTGGCCGTTATTGAGCAAGTTAAGACATTTGTTTTAACATCTTAATAGTCTTCTCAAAGTGGCCCAGGAACAGAAATAATTGTGATCAAGACAGCAGGACATACTATGAGTTGTGTAATTGGAAATTTTGCTGACATCATCTGGTGATATTGCCAAACTGCACCTTGAAGAGCAACAGTGAGTCATCAGTGCGTGTGCTCCTCTGTTGTTTTAGTCCCCGCCATCCGCAATTGTTTTGAAATCAATTCATTGTGGGGGTTGTTATCGCTCAAAAACTGAGGTCTCATTTGTCCAGCTGTCTGCCCCCCCACTGGGAGTATTTGTATGCTTTGGGACAGGGACGTGTGCCGGTACATCTGTGCCCTAGTGGAGAGCTCATTGATTTATGTGATGCCATTGTTAGTCATGTGATGTGGTGACACGTGCCTGTTGTCTCATGCCATCTTTATGTGAAGTCTATTCACATTGATGAACTTGTGGTGTGCCTGCAGGTCACGCCCCCTGATAAGACATTCCCCAGATAAGTTGGTACAGAAACTAAAGCTTGGAGAACCAAATTGCCTGGACACCCTCTAGTCCTTCCTGTGGCGTGTCACAGCATGATGTCGGCTCTGACACAGATGTCTGGCTTTGGAGGCACTGGCCTAGAGGCCGGAGGTGTCCATGCATGGAATGTGCTGAAGGTCCCGTTGGAGGATGTGTGTGTGGATGGATGCCGTTGCAGTCTGCACTGCAGGCCCATGTGGAGGTTAGCACCGCAAGAGGTCCTTATATAAACCACCACATGTCTTCCCACTTGAATAAAATGTACTGGGTGCTTTGTTTTTGTTGGAAACGGAGTGGCAACAAATTAGATGAGGGGATTTTGTCTGCCTCCAGGCAAGAGAAATCTCAGTCACTAAACTAATTTGAATCCAACCAGCGTTGTCTCTAGCTCTGCTGTTTCAAAACGCATTGGGAGCAAAGTTGTTGGGTTTTTTTTAGTGTCTTCTCCCCCATTGACACCAATGTGAAAATGCTCTTTTTAGTGTGGAATGTGTTCGTCTTCATTGTCAGTCCTCCCCAATCACACAGCCACTGTGGAATGCCACACATTCAAATGGTTGTTGGCATTCATGGCCTATTTAAACAAACAAACAAAAAATCCCCAGGTGAGATGAAAAATGAAACGCCATTTGTCATTCATGATTTGGTTGCCTCAAGTTTTCCTTTTTTATTATTTGATCTGTATTTCCTTCATGCAAATATATGAATTCAGTAGAACTTTTGTGGTTTTTAATGGGTTGTTTGTATGTCAGTGGCATTTGGAAGACTGACAAATGGTTCACAAAGTTTGAGTGGTCCAAAAGGGTCTGTTTTGGTTCCCATTTGAAGACCAAAAATCTTCTCAGAGGACATGCAAGTGTTAAGTGTTCAAATTCCTTGTCGACAATGTCCCAACCATTCTCTGTTGGTGCTGTTTATACACAACAGCAACACGGGGAGATGGCACGTTTTACAGGCAGTGTAAAAGGAGCTCATCTATTACAATTATTAGGGGGCACTTAAAATTTACTGCTACTATTACAGTTAACCGAAAGTGAACCAGCTGTCACCTTTCCATTTTGTTTTCCCTAACATTTTCCACATAGTGTGCACTTACCAAAAAATGAAAACCAATTTTCACAACCGGCTACATAGATTCATACTGTACGAAAAACATTTTTTGATTCTTCGAAACGGATAATTAGACTAAATCCTTATCATTGCTGCGTTTTGTGCCTGTGTTTTTCAGTGCTGAGTTTTATCTATTTTGTTGGGCAGCTCGAGGTCTTTGGAGTGATAGACCCGAAGTGTGTACTTGGAGGAAATTATTTTCTTTGTACATCGAAGCCTGTTTGAGTTTGTGATGAAGATAACGGACAGAATATCCCAGGCAGTAAACTGCAGATAGAGCCAGTCATTCCTATTGCTGTGCTTTTGCTTTGTGTATTTTAGGCCAGGCACTTTGTTTGGCAGCTATAGCTCCTTGGGAAGATATTTTCGGTTTTCTTTTTTTGCTGCAATGTTTTATTGGTCCTTGTAGGATGCATGGACTTCATTTGTGGCAGTTATTGTGATGAATGTATCAGACATACGTATGCCAGGCAGGAAATGCAGACAGAGTAATTCCCCATAATTGCTGCATTTGTGATTTGCATATTTTACGTCAGGCACCTTGGTGAGCAGGTCAGGCCTCGGAAAGATGCTAACTTCGTTTGTGCCAATTATTATTCCATCCATCCATTATCCAAAACACGATTATTCTTTTCATTCATACAGTAATTACTGTATTTTTGTGTTACCGAAACGCAAAACATATTCATATTCATACATCTAATAGAGGCCGTTGCTGGAATGTTGACAGGAAATCTAGAAGATAAACTACTGAAAACAGAAAGATGATAGAGGAGCTGATTGGCTTAATCTGCATTGTGCCATTGTTCTCCTTGTGGCTTGGGTGAAATTGACTTTTTACAAAAAAAAGGACCGACTGCAGGTGTAATGCTTTCATTCATGTTGTATTTTGCATTAGTGTAGAACTGCAGTGGCCCTAACTAGGAGTGTTTCCAAATGTTTTGACTCTCATTCAACTCTAATGAGGTCATCCTCTCTTGATGGTAAATTCTAATCTAATGAAATGCTCCTGTGGACTGTTACATTATTTATATCACATACTTTAAATATGATATCTTCTCATACTTTCTAAATATGTTTGATTTATAAAACGAGTGCACGTTTTGATGAGGAAGGGGAAAAATAGAATAAACCTCAGAGTGTTATGTAAATAAATGAACGCTCGAATTGATGCCCGTCAACCTACTTTGTGGAAAATAAAGCAGTTATTTTGAATGGAAAGAACACGGTACGTTACATCAAAGAGTGCTACTTCGCCCTCGTGAGTCACAGTGGACTATTTTTGTCAGGCTGATGAATAAAAATATAACCTGTTTAAACGAACTCCATTTCCTCGGACAAGTAGGCGTGCTGCTTGCTGAACTCCTCCCCGGCGTTTACTTGCCATGTGACCGCGCGAGGCGCCTTTTAAGACAGCGCTCGCCTTGTGCCCTGCTGTTGGATAAGCAGAGACAGGACCGCGAAGTTGTTAAGAGTAATAGCTGAAAACGACTTGACGGGGTTTTTGTTTTATTCGGTTGGGAGAGCTGCTACGATGCGCTGCACAATGAGCTACAGTCTGTCGTGCTCGCCGAGGTCTTCTCCCACTTATTCGGGACGCTTGATGCCCTATCGAGCGAGATGCGGCAGGTAAATTCAAATGCTTTTAAGACGTTGAACCCTCTTATTCTGAGTGTGTGCGCGCCACCGTTCACGACTTGTGCCGCGCGGCAGGTAACCAGAATCTGCGGGCATGTGTGTGTGAAAGAGAATCTACGTGTATTACGTGCGGTGGTGGTGCGGTGTGCGGGACGAGAACTCCAGCACCTCGCGCGTTGTTGTTGTTGTTGAACAACGCTCACAATCGCGTATCGAAATGTTCTTTTTTTTTTTTAATGCTGCATTGCTGTTTTAATTTAACACACACACACACACACACACACACACACACACACACACCATCACCATCATCTCAAACAGACCCTTGTGGCCACTTTGTCCTATATAATTCAGAGGTTGTCAACTTTGAGCCAATGTACATATTTCACATTAGACAACTTTCACGGGACACCACTAAACAGAAGTGTCACAAAATGTGGGTGCACACGTTCATTATGGCTCTTATGCCATGTAGTTGAAGAGCGTTTCATTGTTCTACCTGTAACTCTGTCGCTGACATAGTTAAACAAAGATTTGTAGTAAATAAATACTATGTGAAATTTGGCAATTTCTCTACGCATACCTGCTCATACAGTGTTTGGGGATCAATGCTCAAGGCCAGTGTTTGCCAAGCTCTGTTTCTGCCAAAACATAGACCGGTATTTCACAAAAGAAATATGTAGTGACACAACACTAAGCAAAATTGTTTTTTTTTTTTTTTTTTTTT